GCTTGCCTCTGGGCGGCCCGGGGACCCACGGGGTTGCACCCATTTGCCCTGACGGACTCACCGAGGCCCGGTCCTGCGGCCCAGCCGGGACTGCGCGGGAGGAGCCGCTGCGTTCCGCTTCTGGGGGCGCCTGGGGTCCGCAGCCAGCGCCTGGCCTTTCAGAACAGAGGAGAGGCATTCAAAGGTTACTCCTTCAAGAGGCCAAATGAAAAATGTCTTAAAATGCAGTTTTAGACTACTTAAAATGGGTCATTTTAAAGTTCCAATCTGAGATTCTGTAATTATAAAAGTGTAGGGTTTCAAAGCTCCGAAAAGAACGTTCCAAGACAAAGCTAAAATGTATGTAATAAAAATACTCGTATTCTTCGAAGGGAGAACGGGAGTCATGTTTTCCCTTCGGTCCTAGAAGAGTAACCTGCACCCGGTTAAGGATTCAGTTTACCGTTCAGTGCTAGTAACTCTTCTGCTTGAGACCAGCAAGGCGCACGCCACAGCCGAAAACTCTTAAGCCCGAAAAACTATTCGAGACACCATTGTTTAATACATTTTGGAATAAATGACTGAAAACTGGGTACCAAGGGGAGGAGGGGGTATACTAATGTTTTTCTTTGTGGCCTTTCTTGCTTGTTCTCTAGATTTTGGGTTTCTCCAGGATAACACAATAAAATTATCTCAAAATTCTTGTCTTGGGTGTTTACTCATAAAACTATGGAGATAGAAAAAAAAAAAAAAGGAAAACCATTGGATGACAGCAATGCACACAGCGAGACAATCAGTTGACTTCCTTTAATCATTGAGCCCGGAACACGTTTTTAAAGAGCAATTCTCAATGACATAGGAAGTTTCAGGACTGTTGTCCATGAGATTTTGCTTACACTGAAGGAAGAAAAATCCCACATTTTAAAATTCATTATTACTTTATTATTAAATAGTTCTGTGTTGGAAAAATATACTGTAATAAAGTTCATGCACTTCCATGGTGTGTTAAGAACAAAATCTCACAAACATTTTTCAATGACTGACAAATAAATGAAGTAAGGTTTTCTCTCTCTCTTAACAGAAGCCAACATAAGCACGACAATGGTGGATGAAATCCAGAGAAATCAGCCCCTTCGTGTTTACTTTTCTGCAGCTCTGTTTCAGATCTGTCATTATTACAGCGCTTACCTTTAGTCTTTGTTGCCGGCTAAATGTAGTTTTTCTGTCATCTTAGGCTTAGGTATTTAAAAAAATAAAATGAAAATGGTCAGGCCAGACTCTCCTGCAACATGACCATTGTTTCCTATGCATGCTCTCTCGGATGAACTCAAGGTCCTCTATAAAACAAAGAATTGTGTTAAAGTGGGATAAACCCTTTGTGCGGAGGCCAGATGGAAGGACATCCGGGCATGTGCGGCAGCCTCCTCTGGGAATGGAGGGGCAGGCTGAAGGGCTATTTCTAAACAGTTCCACACCACAAGCCTGGTCCCTAACTTAGCATCCCCGAAGAGGGTGATTGTGGACAAGGAGGATCCAGAGGATGTGCCGAACAGTGGACAAAACCCATGCTTGGGTTCAGATGAATGAAAATTCTATGAACAGAACTTTAAAGGAGAGAGGATGGAGTTAAAAGGCTCAGGAAAAATATCTGAGACGCAGAGGAAGGAGATTTTTTAAATAATATAAAAGCAACTTTGGCAACCGTTAAATAATACGTCCTGAAAAGTCACTCTTTGCACAAGTATTTCCTTTACATTTGTTTTTAAGACTAAAGAATTCATTTAAACATGGGCCCATAGGATTATCCCAGAAGTATGTATCAGTAAATTCTAGCATTCCAGATATTACCAGAACACAGAGTGGTACCTAAGGCTGGAGCACAAAAATCACCAGTAATTAAGGCTTCAGTTGATACACTCAAAAATTACTAATGCGCTAAATTGCATAACTGTTATATTTTCAATATATCTCCCCCTTCCCAGGCTATTAGCTGCAACAATAGAATTACCATACTGGTTTTTTCTTGTTTCAAAGAACCAGATGGAAAAGAAACTGAGCAAGCAAATGGAAGTCTCAGGGGAACCGCAGGAACCGAGCGTTTGTACAAACTCCGTTCCAGACCTGAAAATGGTCCTTGGTAAATGTGCAGTTTTATTCTCACCACCTCTGTTCTTTAGGAAAGCAACCCTGTTCCTATTCCACGTCTTCTCTGAGGGCCTATTAAAGATCAAGTGAATAATGACAAGCTGCATTATCTACACTGATGGAAACGGAGTATCGTCCTTCACTCCTCCATTTAGAGAACTCCTTGTAATTAACTGCTGGGCTGTCCCCAAGACAAAGCCATTTAGAGTCATTACTGGACCCTAATTGGGGGGGAAATGCTTTCAGAACGTTCCAATTACAGGCATTTTCTGTTGTTCTTATAAGTACGTACATTCAGAGGAGGTATGGGCGCGTTCATTTTCTGGAGAGTGCGGCTTGGGGTATTGTTTCTGCTCCTGTTGATACTTAAGTAAATAGTATAAGGTAAAGATCTTTAAATTTCAGCGTACAGGACATCAGAAAACTGAATAGTAGCAATATGTGCTCTTGTTCCTCATAATGAGGGCTGGGGATATAGCTCAGAGGCACAGCGCCTGCCTGGCAAGTGCAAGGTCCTG